TTTCAGTCAATCTATTGCTCCTGATTGACACGCTCGTTTAAGCTAAGCTAAGTTAAAGCGTTAAGATATTAAAAGTTTACAGTCTCTTATTTCGAATGAGTGCTTTTGGATAGACATGACAATCGTTAAAGAAGATATAACATTAATAAGTATTTGTATTTTATGATAGGTCTTTTTAAAATAATAATTTCGTAGTTGAAAGCTAAATATCTGAACAAAAATGTAAGAAATGGTAAAACACACTTCAATGCTTTGGTTGAATAATATTTATAATAAACCATATATTTAGAATTCAAAATAAAGCAATCTAGTAGTAGTAGTATTAGTATTTTTCAACGCCTTCACTATTCACAAATGTCACCCCAGGCCATATATAGGGCTTAAGGAAGACCCTTGGGGGCTTCCACCCCTGTCAATAAAATACGATACATTTATGGAAAATTCTAGATCTAGATGCATTATACCTACCACAAAACGGAATTTGATTGCTGATATATTGTTATATAAAGGAACTAATATATAAAATACATTAAAAAATGACCACTGCTGAAACTGAATCAGAAATTACAGAAAAAAAATTTAAGTCAAATATAAAATAAAAGTTAGTTTTTATGTTTTACGTTAGATTGGATACTTTGGCTTTAATAATATTATAATAAAATTAATAATATTGTCATTTGTCTTTCAGAATCAGAAGAAAACCATTCATCAGCTCATTTTCTACCCCACATGTGTGTAATATATATCCTTCTCAGGGTAGATCTTGGAAGAAAGACGTAGAGGAGGCCGCAAGAGTATGAACGCATTAGTATTCATGGTTAATTGTTAGCATTACGTCATAGATCATGGCACAGGTGTTTTGTGTGTGACAGGGACATGATACAAGGTACACAACATCCAATACTAAACACAAATTAATATATAAATGATATAAATTTGTAGTCTGCAAGTTCATATTATTTTAAAATTCCATAAAAATATTTTTACAAGAATACATAAATTATTCTATATAGATCTATTACAAACGCAGCCATCAAACTTCATAAATACTTCTCTTCATTCCATAAAATAAATTTAAAAATATTTCTTTACCCCAGTTTCCAAAACTTGAAAACTGATACTTGACAACCAAATCATACACATTTGCATAAATGATGAAAATATCATTCTTTTCCGCGGCATCGCTGCCGTTTGAAATAATGTGATTTCATAATAAAAGCTTTTGCGTTGCATTACGAATAATGAATATCGGATAGGATAGAATAAAAAAATGCCTCGGGAAATACATTGTAAATAGGAATTATGGATTTTACGAATGCATTTATGCGAGTCGATGGTGCGCGCCGTTCGGAGGCAGCTTTTGTAATTCAGTGCATTTTATATCTGGAGCTCGCTGCGAACGGAAGTGATTTTAAAGTCAAACCATTTTATTGGCCTTTCGTAATATATGGTTCTGCAAGTCACCGATAGAGAGTACATTGATCCTTCAGGCGGGAGTATAAGCATTAACCAGCACCCGATTTTGTAAATGTGGTTGAACAAAATGTTCCTAGACCATAGGCTTTAATATATATTTTTATACTACAAAAATCAATAAATTTTCATCCTGGTGTTTCTAGAAGGCAACCTATAGGCTGACCAGATCCTGTTACCTCTACTGCTTGATGTCAAGTTGGCTAAGTTAAGTCTTACCACAAGGCCTTGGCCAGTTTTGCGGGTTTTAAGATTATTGCATGGCATTATACATTTAGGCAAATTACTGAAACTTCCAGTTTTGTAATTAAACATTTGAGAAAAAAATCTTTAAAATGATCAATAATTAATAACAATTACCATGCACCACTAGTTAATTTTCTAAATGTAAACCTAGTGATCAATAGAAACAGTAAACAAAAGCTGTACATGTTTCAGCCTAGTGTTTTTAAAAAACAACCTAAAAGTTGACCATTTGAGGTATATTACCAATAATGACGTAAATATATATTACAGTAGTGCCATGAAAGGTTATCATCACTTAATATTATATTTGAGATCTCTAATACAAGTAAAAATCATGCTTAACAAATACTGCTTAATGTCAAGTGAGTTATTACCACAAAGCCCTGTCCAGAGATATGGGTTTTGAAAATATTGCATGACATTATACGTAAGCAATTTCTGAAACTTCAAATTTCGTAATTAAACATCCACAGAATAAAAATAATAAAAAATCTATAAAATAATGAATAATCAATAACAATTACCGTGCACCACTAGTTAATTTTTTAAATGTAAATCCATTAGAAGTCATTAAAAACAGTAAAATTTCTTTAAAAGCATGAAAAAGACCAAAAGTATTATAATAGCCTGTAAAATACATAAACATTGACCGATTATTTTTGTGTCCTTGTTATTTATTTACAAGATACCGTCTGCTCAGTTACCGAAGTATCATTATTGATATGAATTAAAACCAAATGCACCACCCAGAGGGCAGTCGAATCTATTTTATTGATAGTATGATGCAACTTCAAATGGTTTGTTTATCAACCGAAGTTCCTATCTATACGACGCAGTCTTGTTGATCTATGTTTGTTAAAATTATGTGAGCGATCGAAGAATCTACTTTAGTTTGTGCCTGCGTTTCGCGGGAACAAGAACATCTGGCATGTCGACCCGGCGCCAAAGCACCGGGGTCGACGAGCTGCGTGTTCGAGTTATCTAAGAAACAAGGGTAATAATTTTATATTAGTGGCATTGACGGTTGTGGTTTTGAATACTTCATAACAAAATAAGTGAGTATTGCTGTTTATTATATTATTTAATTTACATTAATTTTTATAAATATAAGTATTTGAATCAATTGCTTCAATTATAATATTCAAATTATTTGTTGAAAATAACTACTACGTGAGGCATTTTTGTAGAAAATTGTATAATCTGCATTAGTTTCGAATATCATCAACGCGGCATACTCAATACTGATAAATTTTCTTATTAAGTCGACGTATGCCATTCACATCTATTTAAACATAGCATTTATTAATATAATGAGTTAGCCTGCATACGTTTATATTTAGTGAAATAATTTATAAAATATGAGGCACACATGTGAACATTCAATTGGCATTGGCACAAAGCGCTGAAGCGCCGTGCGGGTATTATGGCCGACGGGTTCGCATTTTTCGAAACAAAAGGATTTATTTGTTTTATTTGTTAAAATTATACCCATTTGTATGCGCGAAAGATAAATGCTGTTATGTATGTTTCAATTCACACACGCGACAATATACTATGTACGATACAATACAATTCATCTATCCGATGTCGCTCTTGCGTTAGAAAATGAAATGTTCGGCGCAATCAAACTGGATGTGTTTCGGCGGAAACAATAACACAGTTTGTATGACATAATTGTTTGCTTCGTTCACAATAATGATTCCTACGCAAAATCAGTTCGCACGAATAAACGTCCCAATAAACGCGAGAGGATTAAGAAATTAATTGTTAGCGATGATTATAATAATCTATTATGACTTGGGCAATTATTAGTGAACCTTATCAATGTCACCATATGTTATGAATCTTGTTCTTTTTCTAATTTCAGTCTAACAGTGAAGTACAACGTACTCCTATTTTCTTAGTTAACTAATATCTTCAATCAAAGAAATTAATTAAATCTAATGTACAAATATACATAGTAATGACTAGTAAGCAGACGATACAAAACATTTAAACGCTTGTAAATCTTTCATATCACTCGGTTGTCTCCTCTAAAGGCCATGGGCAGTATTTAAACACATTGACTCAGTTTGTATTGAAGCCTTGATGAGCAACCCGAGGGCTGCGGGCTTCATGCGGCCCCTTAATTATTTTTCTGGGGCCGCCAAGCATTTTTAAATATAATTTATTTTATTTTATTAACTGGTCTCATCAATGAATTAATTATAATAAATTCTATTTTTGTTGCATTAATTTATGCAATATTTTTTGCTTTCAATTTTGTATTTGTATATTATGTTTATTATGTTTTTATGTTATTATTAGTCACGAGTGTGTATAAAAAGTTTTTGAATAATTAATAAGTTTGGCCCGTCATAGAAATTAAAAAATTCATTGATTTGCAATTAATAAAATTAATTATTAATTCTTAGAATAGATATCGCAATGATAAAACAATATTGTCCTTCTGAAATTTACTATTTATCTTCAAAGTATTTTATATACTTTTATTATTATATGATCTTTTTTTCCAAATACGGCAAAACGACTGAGCAATTTTCATGTCTACATTCTTATAAAAATGTAGACGTATAAAAAAACAGTATTACACTGTTCTGTGGAATGATAAAAAAACTGCCACGACGCTAATTAATTAGAACGACACTGAAATCAACCGCATACCTCTTGAAAATTGCTTTAAATTTTAACATACTGCCGAAAATAAATACAGATATTGTAAATGAATGCTCATCAATGTCCACAAATTCATACCAAATAAATTGCATAACATATCAATGTTTGATATTATTGTTCGACTGGTTTGACGATGAATTTCTCTTCTTCGACAAAGCGACTTGTTTTTAAATGAATCTACGTGATTTTGAATCTATGTAATAGTTTAATCCAAACTTCATTTATTTAATTTGTTCATGTAGCACAGTCCAGAATTACTAACAAACTAATAATTATTTTATTTTATTTATTCTAATTCCTATTGGAATTGCAATTTGTTATTTTAAGAACACATTCAGTATTCATTTTGTCCATTCAACAGATGGTTACTAGAAGACAAACCAGTAGTTCTCCTTACTAATTGTGACATATTTTCAACACTGCAGCAATGCTCCAAAGCTTGATACCATCTATAGTCTCAGTAATCATCTGATATCACTACCGCTTGATGTCAATCTGGAAGGTGGATATCAAATCCGAAAAAAGATGGGGAATCATTACCACAAAAACATTCTTCAGCATTCTAAAATTTTTATTTTGAAAGTAAAATCTTGTAAGAAATAGTTCTGCTTAAAATAAATTGTATTACTTCTATAAATCATAAAATGTTTTTTTCTACTTTTATTTGCACATCTATGAATAAATTAAAATCAATGACTAGGGAAGTTTAAAGACAGTGACTTACATGAAACCAAAGTCTAGCAGGGAATTAGTTAAATGATTTTTTATTTTTTCTCAAAATTTACAAAAATTTGTTCAATATTTCCATGTAAATAATGGAGTGATATTAACTAAAATTTACCCAAAGCCAAGAATTTTTATGAAAATGTTTAGCAAAATGGAGTATATTATTCTCACTTTTTCTCTTAATTTATATTTCTGACGGTGTTCCTTAACATCATTATCATCATATTTAATTTTCTGCGTCTAGACTTAACAAGTACATTTAGCTTTTTATTTAGACAGAGACGTAACTCAAGATCCGCACAGACATTAATGTTTTTAAATTAGTTTAGATTGGTCTAAAGGGTTTGCCTTATGCTTTTAAGAAATTTGACTCGTAAAGTTGGTGTGTTAATTACAAGAGTGCTGCGCAGATTCATAATTATTTCATGTTATAATTTGACTTGTTTTGTTGAACAGTGTTTACTGCAGGAAACTTGAATATTTTAAAGGTTTATATATAACATTAGACTTTGCTTCATTATGTTGGATTTGGGAGATCTGTTGTAAATTCTAGCAATCTGAAGGATTACATTAGCTTGAAACTAAAGACTTCATATTGTTAAATCATATTATAAAAATATTCTGTCTGTGTTATCGTAGTTTTTTTATCAGTTTAATAATTTTTTTAACATATCTAAAAAATATATCTTGATAGTTTTGTCAACTTGTCAATTATAAGAAAATTGAAAAAATAATTTATATATATTGATAATTATTTACACTTAATACGTGTATTCGTTCAGCAATTATTATACTATGATTGGAAATAAATATTAAAACTTATTTTATTTATTTTTGAAAATAATTTACATTCCAGAAATATCAAGAACAAAACCAGTATTAAAACATATCGTTATAAACTTAATTAACATTTGATGTTTTGGTGATTTTTTTTGTTCAAAATAGCTCGGTAAAATAATGTGCTATGCTAAATTATAAAATATCATTATTTTTATACGCAATTATTAATTTGCAATAATTTTATTCTTTCGACGACAGTTTTTGTATCAATACATAAGTGGACTAAAAATTAGAAAGAATCTTCTTCAATTGAATCGAAGATTTGGCGAATTAAGTTAAAGACGACTTAGATTTTGGAGCAAAAATTTTATTTTTATTTTTGATAGAAAGTTTCATAAATTTTAATTCAAATGTTATTGAAAATGCTGAACCAGTAATATCTTCAACAACTATTTTTAACTTGGTTTGTGTTTCTAATATTTTTGTGCATATGTTTATGATTATCTTATATTACAAGATTACTTATATTACAAGTATTACTTTACTATTACCAATTTTATAAAATTGGCCAATTAAATGATTGTTAATATTTAAATTTTGATTAATTAAATTAGAGAAGTTACAGGTCTCGGACTAAAATCATAACTTTACAGGTAGTTACTTTTTTCACATTTTTTTTATATAATTGCCTTGCTAACTTTGAGCATTTAGCCACCTACTACATTACATCTTTTTATTCTATACAATTTTTCTGTCTTATACGCTATAATTTTTTATTTAATAACTAAATACACTTAAATACTAATTTCAGTCTTTCACAAAATCACATAAGACTGTAACATTTTAAGAATATTTATTTCTATAGGCAATCAGAATGAACACTATCTTTTTGAGCTATAAAATATAAACTATAAATATATAATAAAATATTCTATTTGTTTGGTTTGATTTTTTTTGAAGAACCAATGATTTGTTGTAAAACACTTTATTTGTAATATTAATTACGTGTTTATTTTTAATATAACTACAAATTATATTTGTATTTACAATCTTCCCAAAGTTTTAATTTTTTTTATTAGATTTTGTTTATCATTTATATGGCGTGCTTTGATTTTGGCGTAAACATATTCTATAACTGTTTTTGACTAGTTTATTTGCAATATTTTTGATCATAAGATTGATTGCTTCAAATCTGAATTTCGAGACGTTATGAAATTGGTAAAGATGATGAATATTGATAATAAATTACACGTTCATATCCTTTGGATAGAAGTTCAAATTTTGCGTCTGAATTAATATTTCTACCCTATATTATTTATGTCAGAATTCTATGGTGTTTTTTCTAAAACCTTAAGAGCAATAGCAAATATTCCATAAACACCACGAGTTGACTTTATTATATAGATATAGTAAAGCAAACTATATCGTCGTTATGGGCGTAACTCAAACAAATACCTTGGCTATTGATAGCAATCTATGAAGCACATAAAGAAGAAGCAATCATAAAAATTCTCCTTCATCATCTTTTGCCGAGAAAAATCTCAATTATTTTACGAGCAACTCATCAATATGGCGTGCCATATATTGCCGAGGTTCAATCCTTGCCTTCGCATGACTTCGTAACGTGCTCGTTCGTTTACGTCATAAGCCTCCTTTCGTGCTCGCTCGGTGATCTCCGTGAAAGCTCACAAAGCTCCAACCAAATGCGAAAAGCTCCCACAAACCAAAGTCATGGGGTAAAGGATGCGAATAATGGAAATATTCTCTTAATATAGTTCCGTTTTGTGTAAACTATATTAATAACTTATAACAATTGGTTAGTTAGATTTTTAGAAAAAAAATAAAAATAAATATAATGCAGTGTAAAATTGCTTACGTTTCTTAAATATTTTGAAAAAGTTTTTAAAATTAGCATTAAAATTGTACTGATGTAAAATTTTTCACGGTTTTGTCATGTATATATTTTTTGAATGAGTCGTTGTGGCGAATTAAGTTGCTAGAAAATAGTAATTAGAACAATTTGTAAATTTTTCATTTTTATATAAATTTTTTAAAAGAAAAAAAAAGTAGATATACTTGTGAAGCTTTGGTCAATATATAAATGACCGTTATTTTCCTTAAGACACAGAAACATGATTAACTTTCTTAACAAAATCTCAATTTAATCCATATTTTTTCTGGAAATATTTTGTCAAAATAAAATCAATATAAATTTTATCCAGAATTATCGAATTGTTAGATTCAATATTTAGATATATTTAAGTGTGTGTGTGTGTGTAGTGTATCTTAAAAAATTAACTTTGACATACCCGAGAAAAAATTGATAGATGAATATATGTTTGTGTGTAAGTGTTTATGTAGTATGTATGTATGTACGGATACAATTTTTCGTTGACGTTTTCGGAGCACCGCTCAATCAATTTGAGTTATTGCAAAAGCATTTGATTCCTATTGATAAGAAGACGCGCTGATTAGTTTTTGTCAAGTTGGTTTGTTTCAAATAGTGCAGAAAATGAAAATTAAGTTTGGGAGAACGGAGCATCCAATTTGGATGATTTAAAAAATATTCCGCTTGTATTGAAGTAATGAAATTTTTTTTGCAAGGCAGGTCCAGCGGTGTTCGAGATCCAGAATTTTTTTTTTAAATAATCTGACATTTCTGAAAGCCTGGACATTCAACCAACATGACTGGATATCAAAAGCTTTCAAGAAATTTCAAAATTCAAAAAAAAAAATCCAAATTTATTCCACAAATTTACACTAACAATAAGTTAAAATTATGAAGTGATTCTTTTCTAAATGATTATTATTTTTCAAATTCATTAATATGTCATTGATAAAATGTTCAGATATTAATAGATACATTTACAGTATTATTACTTATTGTTAGACATCGTTTTTTTGTGATTATTTTTTATGGTTATAAAATTATTTATTAGTTTAATTTTTCAAATACTTTTTATAATAATTCAGAAGTTTTATATAAATTAAACTAAAATTGCATTATCAAGTAAAAACTTTATAACCCTTCCAAATATATACTACCTTTCATCATATCATCCTTGGTGCTACAAACACATATTTCGAAAACCGTGTCCTACGTCAATCGTTTTATCTTTTTCCCTCGCTTGCTACGCCGTATGCTTCCTTCTCAGTTTTTATGGAGTGTGCGTGTATTGTATTCCGCGAGAAGGATTTTGGGCCGGAGCCGCCATTACCGTCCCAGATGTAACCGGCGTAGCATTTATCTGACGTAGCTGTTTACCTGCGAACCGGAATCACACGTTCGGAGGAATTGACATAAGGAAAAAAATCCTAAAAATCGATAATTGATGAAAATATAAATAAAAAAATAATTAGAGAAAATTGTTAAAAAATTAGTGACTGTATTTGTGAAATATAAGCAAAAGTGTTGTGATTTAAATTTGTACAATTTGGGGATTGTTTATATGAAAAAGTTTGAAGTGTTTGTCTTAATTTTAAAACCGACGACTTTTACTTTATATTATTCTTAGTAAGTAAAATCCAGTAAAGCGTGAATCAGCGTGTCATTTTTTGAACACGGAAATAAAACAACAAAAAGTTTGATAACCCCACGTCCCTACGTTTTCAAACAGAATACATTTGAATAAATATTTCTACGAGTTGAAGTTATTCTTTCATTCCGCGAAGGATTTATATTCCCACGTACTGAGTGATTTTTGAAGCATTTTTCCCAGCTTAACGCGAAAGTTTTCCCTCCGTGTAGGCGTAACACCTCTTATTATTAAAATATGAGTGAACCGTATTCTGACATTTAGTATATGCAGTTGTGGGACAAATAGTTCATGGATTTTGAATTAGTCGAATCGTCTATTTGTGTTTTCGGTGGATGTTTGTTGTATCATGTGTCGTGTGTGTTTTGACTCTGCCCGACG